GTCAGCATGCCAGCTTTGAAATAAGTCTAGTAAAATAAAAGGGCAACCATTTCACAAGATTATACATATTTAGAAGTGCCAAGTAAACAATGAGGCTGAAATCGTATGCGTAAAGAGTAAGCATGCATATCATCAGGTGGTATGTCACTTTGAATACTGGACAACATACAGCATCTTAGAATCTAAGGCCCTCATTTACAAAATCAAATGCCTTCTGCTGGTCAGGAACAGCAAGGGTGTGTACATTCGTGTGCATGTATTTGTTATAGCTTAAACCGCCATCTAGCTCAAAGAGGCTTTTATCAGTTGATAAAGAGAAATGAGGTTAGGTTTTGTAGCCTTATTGGAGTTCATCGATTGGGTCTGCGTTGCTCCGGGACAGGAGGAAGGAAGTCAAATGACACCGAGTTGGTTCAAAGAAAGAGTTTATTCTGCTCTCCGGATAGCAGAAGACACTTGCGTGGTGAGTCCACAGCAAGTCCAAAGAAATGACAAGTTTCATGCAGTATATATATCCTCCAGGCACCCTCTCTCCCTTCCCCAGCCACGTCAGCTTGTAAAAACAGGTTGACATCACAGATGTTCCTGCTCTGGTATTCTCAACCATAAAAGGATCTTCCTTCCTGTACTTCTGACCATAAAAGGATCTTCCTCTTCCTACTCTTATCTGGGAGGAATAGGTCATCATCTCCGGGAACACGCTTCTGGCGTTTTCCCCGGACATCGGTCTGCACGTATTTTGTGGTCAGCACATAAGATAAGGTACTGACGTGTTTTCTCTGCTCCCCTAGAGAGCCAGGGTCATCCCTTGCCGTGACTGATAAAGGAGAGAGCTTGTTTGTGCAGCTGTGCCCTTATTATGCTTTTGCTCAACAGCTCAAGTTTTACACATTTTAGAGTGCTCTCTTTTGAAAGAACAAAGGGGGGGGGTTGAGACAGTTTTAAACTTACTGCACAGAAACCCATTCCTTCAGTTTGGTCATGAGAAACACACAGCTGCATGGAAACAGGAAGCATCTGGAGTATTGTTCAGGCAGAGGGCGCACTGTTTTGTAACAAAAAGGGGGAAACTGGGAATTTCCCAAATGATGCCTGAGAATATACACTGGAGTCCATCTAGTCCATGGACAGATGAAGTTGATGGACTATATGGAACTGGCAGAAATGACTGGCAGAATCCGAGACCAGGGAGAAGAGTCGGTGGAAGAAGAGTGGAAGAAATTCAAAGATTATCTACAGAAATATTGTAAAATTAATGAATGTTAGAATGATGTTGGATAGAAATTAAGTGGTTTCCAGCTGTAATGCTTTAAGGGAATATGAAAAAGGTTTATAAATAGGTAAAAATCTAATGCTCTTATTTTTAAGATCAAGGATTAGGATAATTAAAGAGGGTAAGGATTTGCTGAACCAACAGATTGAAGTGGAATACAAAAAGGGAGGTACGAGGAGGTCCGGGAAACAAGCTAAAGGAAAATAAGTAATGGAAAATCTGGGTGTTTTTAACCATTTTTATTTTGTATTTTTGTTATTTTTTTCACTTTTATTGTAATATTTTAAAAAATCTTAATAAATATCTTATTAAAAAAAAGAGAGAATATACACTGGAGAAGAAATCACTTTGGTTCACATGTAAGGAAGGCCACATATGATTATTTTTCAGGAGCACCTCATATTTCCAGTCTTCTCATTGGTTATACACAGTGAATGACTACTATTATTATAAATAGTGAAATGGGGCTTATGTGTACCAGTTGTGCATGACAAAAGGAACAAATCCCTTTGAATAAAAGTAGTTGGGGTGATAATTTGAACAGCATTTGCAATATTGCTATATTAAAGGTAAAGGTAAAGGGACCCCTGACTGTTAGGTCGTCGCGGACGACTCTGGGGTTGCAGCACTCATCTCGCTTTACTGGCCGAGGGAGCTGGCATACAGTTTCCAGGTCATGTGGTCAGCATGACTAAGCTGCTTCTGGTGAACCAGAGCTGCGCACAGAAACACCATTTACCTTCCCGCCGGAGCGGTACCTGTTGATCTACTTGCACTTTGACGTGCTTTCAAACTGCTAGGTTGGCAGGAGCAGGGACCGAGCAACGGGAGCTCACCCCGTCACGGGGATTTGAACTGCCGACCTTCTGATCGGCAAGTCCTAGGGCTCTGTGGTTTAGACCACATGAGGTATTAAAAGGGTAAATGCAAGGAAGGTTCCTAATGCACACTGCTTTGCATCAAATTCATCTTAAATATATTTATTTATTTATTTATTTATTTATTTACGGCTATTAGCCCATAAAGTATGTACAAACATAAAAGCACAGAGGCATAAAGACTAATATATTCGGCACCAGAAGGTGAACACCATGATGCAGGGGTGGGTCATTGAGCAGAGCCAGATAACAGCTTGGGGCCCGGAGAGCTCCAAGGGACGGATCCCAGAAAAGGAGAACTGAAGACGGGATCCGACATGCACTCTCTTCAAAACTGTCCGATTAGTTTTTGATGTTGTTGTTTTTGGTGGTTTTTGTGTGTGAGATAACTGCATTCAGGAATCTCGCCACCTGCAGAGTTACAGAAGGATCTGTATCCTGCAAAAGTAGTGCGGCATGTGACTCAGCAGGCCTGCCAACCAAGCGCAGTAAAGCAGGGCCCAGGAATTTAGTCCTGGCTATGCTATGTCGGGGACAGTTGAACATTATATGTGAGAGAGAATCAACAGTTTTCCCGTCACACACGCATAGCGGAGACACCAAACCCTTGGAAAATCTGTGGCTCAGCAGGTTCGATGGAAAGACATTGAACCTTGCACGAATAAATGCATGTCGGTGTGGTACAGATGAAAGAGATGACATGTATGATGGAAGGCCAAATGGTGAGGTTATTCCGTGATACCTGGGGGAGCAGACACCCTCACCCCCCGGCGAGGTTGTGTTGATTTTCAATGTCTGCTAATCTCTGCTCAATAAGTCTTTTGGCTGAGCGTAAGTTCATCTTTAAGGAGTCCGCTGGGGAAATTCCGATGCTCAGAAGTTTGGCATGGATTTTTCCTACCCATGGATTGACAAAGTCGTCCCGCCAGAGGCACTGAAAAAGGTAATGGTTGGGAAGCCTGTGCCAGCTGGACAGCCAATAACCAAAGACTCGCTTCCAGATGACCGTCTCCAATGATGCAATCCTTAACTCCAGACGTATGGCTGCGTTGCTCACACACATGGGGAGTTTCAGGAGGCGACGGAGAAACTGATTCTGCAATGTCCCCAACGATGTTAAATTGGACCCTGGGGCCCAGAGCGGGGCAGCATAACAGAGGGTGGAAACCACTTTTGCATGGTACACCTTCAATGCAGAAGGGATGTGGGAGGCTCCGTCGGCCGCAAAAAATTGGAGTAGAGTATAAAGTATTGTTTTCCCTTTGTTTAGTAAATACTGTATCTGTGGCTTCCAGCTTAGGTTGTAGTGAAAAAAGACTCCCAGGTATTTAAATTTGAAAACTTGTTCTAATTGGACTCCATCTAACTTCCAGCTGTAAGTTTTCCGAGACCTGGTAAAGACCAGGACTTTAGATTTCCCATGATTAATTGTCAGATGGTTGAGTTTGCAATAAGCCGCAAAAATCTTTAGAGCTCTGCATAAACCGACTCTAGAGTAGGAAAGGATCGCTGCATCGTCGGCATATAAGAGCAGAGGGCAGCGAAAATCAGCTAGGCGGGGGCATGAATGTTGGCTTGAGACTCATTCAGAAAGAGCTTCATATCGCTAATAAACAAGTTGAAGAGGAGTGGGGCCAAAATGCAACCTTGGCGCACACCTCTATTTATTGGGACCTCGTTGGATAGGTTTCCCGCCGGTGTGAGTCTCACTCTAGCCGACGACCCATGGTGTAATTGGGTTATAAGCCATAACAGCCTTCTATCTATGCCCCATCTCTCTAATTTCTTCCATAGACAGTTTCTTGGGATACTGTCGAAGGCGGCCTTTAGGTCTATGAAAGCGACACATAGGCGCCCCCGACTCGGGGCAGAATATTTTCTGGCAAGATGATACATGATTACCATATGGTCAGTGGTCGAATAATTGTTCCTAAAGCCCGCTTGCTCGTGGCCAATCAAATTTGAGTCGTTTGCCCAATTGGACAGCTTGGACAGCAAAAATTTTGCATAGATTTTCCCGATGATAGACAAAAGGCTGATGTTCCGATAGTTCTCCGGGTCAGCAGGGGGACCCTTTTTATGGACTGGCACGATCACGGCCTCCTTCCATGACCTAGGGATAAGCCCCGTAGAATTAATTGCATCAAAGACTTTGGCCAGGATTTCAGCCCACCACCTCGGTTGCGCAACAATAGCCTCAGCAGGGACTAGATCCAGCCCGGGGGCTTTGCCCGTTTTCAGATCTAATATCAAGTCCATTATCAGGTCTGGGTCGGTAGAGGGCCACAAAGGTAGATGGTCGGCTCGGAATTCAGTGGATGAGTTGGATTCCTCTGCCAAGGAGAAATATTTGCTCAAGAATTGTTCCCATGTGGGCGCAGGGATAATCGTCAGTGGGTACTTCCTTCCTCTTTTGTTTATCAAAGCCCAAAATTCCTGTGGTCTGCGGGATCTAGAGGCCGCAATCAAGGCTCGCCAACGCTTTAGATACCACTCACGTTTGGCCAGCTTTAAAGTCTGTTTGTATGCTCTTTTGGCTTGTAAATAGGAGGATGGTAGAGCCTGGGCATTAGAGTTTTTGTATTCATTATAGATGGAACGAAGAAGGGATCTTGCTTGTTTGCAAGAGGTATTAAACCAAGGGGCCCCAGCACTGCAATGCGCTACTTTCGCCTTTTGAGGAGGTAATGTAAAAAAAGTGGTAAGGTTTGTTGTAAGAAGGTTAAAAGATTTCAAAACCGAATTGGAATCTTGTAAATCAGTAGCTATTTGAGGTAGATAGGCAGTGATTTCCCTATGGAAAAAATCCTGGTATTTTTGGGCCACAGCCTCCGACCATTTGATCCCACTTATTTTGGTCGCTGATGAGGTTTCCAGAGGGACTGAGTGTTTATAGTCCTTCTGGTACCGGAACAATGACAAAGTGGTCACTATTGGGAGGTGATCACTGAAATGTTGGTTTTCAACCTGGAAGGAGAGTACATTGACGGCCAAATTTGCGGAGATCAAGAGGTAATCGATAACACTGTTAGATGCTGGTCCCAGGTGAGTGAACTCCCCGGTATATCGGGGGAAGGTGCCGTTCAAGAATACTAGATTCAGGCGAATGGCCATTTGGTAAAGGGTCACTCCAGCTTTGTTTACTCTGTTGTCCTTTGAAGTTCTAATTCTAGCATGTTCCAAGTCAAAGTTGCCCAAACATGGGGGAGTCCACCATTTGGACTTGATTAGTAGGTCCCAATTTGTGGCAATTCGAGCATTAAAGTCTCCCCCAATTAAGGAGTACGAGTTAGGGCATTTGGTATGACATGACAATAGGTGATTTTCAAATGATTCCCATCTCCAATCAAGATCAGGTGCTGAGCCTTCGGGGGAGATAACCATTAGTAATTAGTAATGAGGACTTCCCTTCTGCGATCAGTCCAGAAAGAGCAAAAGGCGGGGAAGCCCGTACCAGGGTGAATTTGGCGCGAAGTTGGAGTGAGATCCCAATCAAAAGACCCCCTTTGGGGCGACCACCTTTCAAGGAAGGGGAGGCCGGAAGTGTTAGAAGATCAAAACCGTCTATGGTAATCTCTTCCTCATCCCATGTTTCTTGGAATAGGATGATGTTAAATGAATTTATGTACTTCCTGAATTCGGGGTCTGATTTTTGGTTCTCCAACCAGCAATGTTCCAGCTAAGTATTGATAATGTCGGGTCCTTGTGCTGTCCCGGTAATTGTCACTTTGAGTTGTTTAATGGGTTCTTGGAGGTAGAGCGAGGACCCATAAGGAAATCAGTAATTTTAGTTTGTGCGGATAAAGTCTTCTTCTGTGTTGATTGAATCCGTGATTTGGTAACATTAACAGGCAGGAAGGGCTTTGCCGGGGAGGAAGAATTAGGCAAAGTTGGTGAGGTCGGATGCTGTTCATTGAGGTGAGTAGTAGCAAGTCTTTGATGGGCTATACTAGTAGATCCATCAGAGTTATCAGTCTTAACCAGGGTAGCACTAGGAGGTGTTCCAGTCATCACTTGTAGTTGCTGCGCAGCTGGAGAAGAATTATCACGCAGATGTATAGAAGGACGTGAACGCGGAGATGGTACATGCATAGTCATTTCCTGGTGATCTTCAGACAGGGTAGATTCTAGCTCAGGCATTGAGGCAAAGGAATCGTCAACTTCCATATTTTGATTGGACATAAAGTCTAAGACGGGAGTATTGAGTTTATCAACTTCCTCCACGGTAGAATGGTGCTGTTGGAGCTGTTGGTCAACAGGTGATTGCTGATTCAGATCAGTAGGAGGTAACAAAGTAGCAGGTTGAGAGATTATCAGGGCATTTGATGGAGACGCCTTGTGGGACGTGGAGTGCCTGCTCTCCTCTCTCATCGGCATAGAGGGGTCCCCTTGCGATAGGAGTCTTTGTTTGAGTAGATCCAATCTATCGAGAATAGCCTGCTGTTCTTCTGAAGGGAGTTTTCCATAGGAGAAGATAAGATTTCTCTCTTCAGGGATATTCCAATCTCCGCTTGCAATTGGATCATTCCTCAGTGTAGCTAGATGGGCACTTGAGGTCGCAGATGGAGCAGGGGTACCCAGCTAGGTGTTTTCCCCTTTATTATAGGAACAGAAGGAGGAAACGAGCGTTCATTGCCGGTTAAGATGTTGGCAAAAAGAGGTTTAACACTCGTGTCCTTAAAGACTCTTGTTGTTACAATCTCCCAGGGTGCCAGCCGATCTTTCTCTCTTGCAAGGAGATGTGGAATCCTTGCAGACTGGAAGGAGAGCATAAATTTCCTTGGCCAGGGCGTGGCAATTAGGGGTACTACAGATATAAGATCTATCTGGGAAAAAGGAATATTTAACAAATCACGTAGGTACCCTTTAGCCATCCTCAGGTTATTCCACCTAAGTCTGGGGGCGTCACGGGAAAAAATGGCTAGACATATTTTATTAGGTTGAAAAATCAAGGATTGCCTATTCCTTTGGGGCAGTGGCGGCCTGCATCTTGAGCTCTTAAGGTGAAATTTCTGGTCAGGTTGTCTCTTTAAGGCACTTACAAGCTGCACAGGAGATTGATGCAAATTAGATAGCTCAGTTGAGGAAGGTAGATGAGCCAGAAGGGCCCGTGAAAGTTTATTCAATGTCAAAGAAATCCCTCCAATTCCTTGAAAATGAAGCTTAAAGTCCTGATTACCAGTTGTATTTGATCAGGTACTAATTCATGGGCAGTTTGCCCTAATGCGTCCCGTTTCAATGACGGAGGTGTAATTAGGGTATCAGGGAGGAGGGCTTCCCTATGGCTTCCGTCCCCCGCTGGATCAGCTAGCTTTTCCGGCTCTCCTTGATCATACAGAGGCCAAAAGCGGTTGTATGTTTCGACCGCAGAAACAATTACTTGCTCTGTTTTGCTGTTATTGTTAGTAGATGGTGGGGAGATTCAAGCTTCGACTGCTTTACTCTTGGAGGTGAGCAACCTTTCTCAGCAGATCTTGGTCGCTTGCCATGACCCATTTGTCGCTGTCTCACTAACTACGGAGGTTCAAAGTAGAGATAAACGGAGATAAAAGAGAGAACTTATCTTTTATGGGCGCAACTCCTCTGCTACTCCTCCTCCTCCACTTCTCAACATAGCCCAGTCTTCAAGGCGGCGTTACTAATCAGCGACAGGCTTTCTCAGCAGAGGGTTTGAATATCCTTGTTGATACGTATATTGGCACCAACAGGCCAACCGTAGAAGTAAAACGATTAAAAACTTCTAACAGAAGTAAAATAATTTAAAAGTCTAATAAAACAACTATAAAAACGGCAGTAAAAAGCTATAAAAGGCTATAAAAGGTTTGTAATCCGGAGGGTTCACGAAGGAGAAGTTGTTACAGCCGCCATCTTCACAGCCAACATAGCTATGTTCAACATTACAAGTTTAACCATGCTAGATAGCAGATGTTTAATTTTGTTGATATCACTAAAAGTGGCAACTAGCTGTATGAATTTCTTTAAATGAACATATACTGTAAGCCTAGATCTTCTTACTGGGGGAAAAAAACCCAAAACATTTCCTGGAAATGTCCATCTTAAATATATCCACAAGCAGGCTTTAAAATCTTACAGAGAATCTTGTGCTGCCCTCCCCTCGCTGAAGTTTGAACTGGCACCCCTGGAACACTAAACCAAGGCAGCAGAGAATCAAGGCAGATGCCAATAACAGCTACACAAATTTGTGGAAGCGAGGTTCTGATGCCAGCAAATCATCCCAACTCTGTAATTGCATCAAGCGTACCTCAAGAAAGGTGACAAAGAAATGTGCTCTTGCCTTTCTGCTCAAGCGAGGACCTGACATTCATGCTTCATTCAAAGTAGTTTCTGCCAGAGGCTGCTTGCCTGGTGAGGTGGAGCCACAACTCTAGTTTCCTAGTAGGAAAGTTGCTGCTGCTTACCAATTGGGGCAAGGCAGTGGGGAGGTCAACACAATACAGTACAAGTGCACTGATGGGAGCATTGGACTGGCTCCACTGGTGCAACAATGCCACATTGACCTTTCCACTGCTTTGCCTTCTCCCTCCTGGAAAGCCAGAGCAAAACACTGCTATCAGGGTGAGCCACTTCTGGTTTCTTTTTTCGTTTCTTTTTTAAAGGCTCTGAACACAGGACTTATTTTAAACATTTTATGGTTTGGAGGAGGTTTTTTTAATGCATTGTTATTTCTCTCACAATCTTTTCCTCACCATCTTCCCTGTCTCCTTTTACCCATTATCTCCCCTTTGCTGAAAAGAGGAAAAGAAGCAAAATGCATCAGTGCTGCTGGTGTGACCCACCTTAGGTTGAACAGTCAGTCTGCCTTCAGCCGGCAGGTCATGATCCTCAGCCTACTTAGAAGGCAAGATTTTAGCCTTTGTTTTGGCCAGGATGGTTTACAGAGCTCCAGTGAATGAGAAAACAGATTGTTTTTCTTAGCAGAGGAGGCCATGTTTAAGAGGATGTAACCAAGGAAAACACACACAGACGCACACACCACAATAGTTAAGATAGTCTCTACACATATGTCTTACTGAAATATGCAGCAGTTCTTGACATAAGCAGAAAAATCTATTACAGCAAAGATGATGTTTCCTCCACTTAATCTGCAAACTCCTGGTTGCCTCCAAAGAATACAGGCTCCCGCAAAAATCCAAGTAACAAAACGGCAATAGATTACAAGTGCCAAACCTGCCGATGCTGCTCATAGAGTTGTTTATTCTTTGTACTCTGCTGCAAGTCTCTCAGGCCCAAAGGGGAGAGTGGCAATGTTTAATAGAGGCCTCTCGAAGGAGAGACTCAGTCACCTTTTGGAAAATAGTTGCAAAGTGATGGCAAGACTCCCCCTCCAAAGTAGAATACTCTATCCCTGTTGGAGCTTGGGAGTCATATGTTCATACCTTATGTTGCGTCCGCTTCATGTTGCGTCTTTTCGCATTACATCCCGCGGCAACCCGGAAGTACCGGAATGGGTTACTTCTGGGTTTCGCCACTCGCGCATGTGCAGAAGCGCCAAATTGCGCCGCACGCCTGTGCAGACACAGCACATCGAGTTGCGGGCATTTCACGTTACAGACGGGCCTCTGGAACAGATCCTGTCCATAACACAAGGTACTACTGTACTTCCAATCCCTATACACAACTAATCAACATCTACAGGCTCAGTCCCTACCTCTAAGTGATACCAAGGCTGAGTGGCCCCCGGTGTCAACTGAAGAAGTCCACAGGCTTATTCAATCTCTTAAGCCTGGCAAAGCTCCTGGCGCAGACAATATCTCCCCTGAGCTCCTCAAGTCCAATGCTGAATGGTGGGGCCCAGTGCTTGCTGCCCTGTTTACCAGCATAGATCAATCAGCTACCATCCCAGAGGACTGGGGACTAGCAATCATCATCCCAATAGACAAGAAAGGGAGCAGGGCTGACCCTGCTAATTACAGACCAATTAGTCTCCTAAGCATTATTAGTAAACTCTATGCTCCACATGTAATAAAACTTGAGGATTGGATGGAGCGAGAATATGTCCTTTCAGAAGCACAAGCTGGTTTCAGGACAAACCAATCAACTTTAGATTAAGGCTTAGTACTCCAACATCTTGAGGAAAAATATACCTCAAGAAA